CGCATTTGGACTTCCACCTAGAATTCCATGGAGATCGAATTATATTTGCCAATGTTTCAGTGCGGGATGTCAAGCCCCACAGCTTGGATGGGTTACGATCTGATGAAATCCTAGGCCTTACTCACACTTACAGTGTGCGCTGGTCTGAGACTTCAGTGGAGCACCGGAGTGATAGGCGACGTGGTGATGATGGTGGTTTCTTTCCTCGAACACTGGAAATCCATTGGTTGTCCATCATCAACTCCATGGTGCTTGTGTTTTTACTGGTGGGTTTTGTGGCTGTTATTCTAATGCGTGTGCTTCGGAATGACCTGGCAAGGTACAACCTAGATGAAGAGACCACCTCTGGAAGTTCTAGTGATGACTTTGACCAGGGTGATAATGGCTGGAAAATTATCCATACAGATGTCTTCCGCTTCCCTCCATACCGTGGTCTGCTGTGTGCTGTGCTTGGTGTGGGTGCCCAGTTTCTGGCCCTCGGCACTGGTGAGGTGATGCTAAGAACTGGGGATTTCTCCCATAGGGTAAATGGATATTAGAAAAGTTCTCTGTGGGTCTTCTCTTCTGTTCAAAGTGAGGGGAAGTCCTAAGGGATACAAATGGTGGCTTTAGTGAGGATATATGTGGGGTTTTCTGACCACAGAACTGGGAGGAATTATTTCACTTGAGGCCCTGGATCTGGGTTAAGAGGGATGAGTCCTTTGAAGCTGTGAGAAAAGGTGTAGATGAGACCTAACTTGGGCTTTCCACTACCACCCTGTAGGCATTATTGTCATGGCATTGCTGGGCATGTTCAATGTGCACCGTCACGGAGCCATTAACTCGGCAGCCATCTTGTTGTATGCCCTGACCTGCTGCATCTCTGGCTACGTGTCCAGCCACTTCTACCGGCAGATTGGAGGCGAGCGTTGGGTGTGGAACATCATTCTCACCACCAGTCTCTTCTCTGGTGAGGACATCCCTTTTCATGGTAGTCTGCCTAGACTTAGGAACTAAGAACACATGGGACCCAAGACACAGTGCAGAGAATATGGAGGAAATTTTAATAAGAAAGCCCATCAAGGGGCTGGAGAGAGAGCACAGCGGTTAAGAACCCTGGTTGTTCTTGCAGAAGACCCAGGTTCAAATCCCAGCACCCACATGGCAGCTAACAACTGTCCATAACTCCAGTCCCAGGGGATCTGACAGCCTCTTCTTACCTCCTTGGGCACTGCATGACACAGGTGCACTTACCTACCATGCAGGCAATACACACACATTAAAAAAAAAAAAAATCCATCAAAAGCCAGATATGGTGGTGCATGCCTTTAATCCTAGCACTTGGGAGGCAGAGGCAGGTAGATCTCTATGAGATCAAGGCCAGGCTTGGTCTACATAGTGAGTTCTAAGCCAATTGGGGCTAGAGGGGGACCCTGTCTCAAAAAACCAAAGGGAAGAAAAAGTTGCTAAGTTCCTAGAAATGGCCTAGGCAGTGTGGTACTTGATAAGCCCTCATCTCATTTACCCTCACAGTAGCTGTGTGAAGTAGGTAATACTGTCCCCAGTGCACAGCTAAGGAAACTGAACCACAGCAGCATCTTCCTACATGGCCCTGGGTGGCCTTTAACTCTACTGCAGTCCTCTTGCCTCAGCATTCCAAGTTCTGGGTTTACAGGTGTATATCTCCATGCCTAGCCTTAACCACTGTTTTGTATATGTGTGTGTGTTCACATGCAAGCATGCTCAGGTGCATATATATATACAAGTATATGTCTGCACCTGTGCCTGGAGACTAGAGAACCACCTCAGGTGTCATTCCTCAGGCACTGTCAACCTTTATTTTGAAAAAACATCTCTCACTGGCATAGAGCATGCCAAGTAGGCTAGGCAGCTGGCTAGCGAGCCCCAGGGATCTGGGTCTACTGCTCTAGCACTGAGGTAAGAGTCATGAACCCCTACACCCAGCTTTTTTTAGATGGGATCTGGGGATTGAACTAAGGGCCTCACGTTCGTAGGCAAGCACTTTTTCAACTAAGCCATCTCCCCAGCCCCTCAACCATTATGTTTAAATAATGTATGTGTGTGTATGTATACATGTGTGTATATGTGTATTGCCTTACGTTTATGTGGAAATCAGAGGTCAATATCAGGTGTCTTCCTTGTTCTTCACCTTACTTTTTGAGACAGAATCTCTCACTGAACCTGGATCTCACCAATTTGACTGGCTGGCTAGTAAGCGCTAGGGATCGTCCTATCTCCACCTTCCCAGAACTGGGATTATAGGCTCCAAACACCATGCCTGACTTTTTAAAATGTGGAAGCTAGGGAACTGAACTCAGGTCCTTGTGCTTTTGTAGCAAGCATTTCACTGATTGAGCTATTTTCCCAGCCCCCTCTTGAATTTTTGGTCTTTTTGAGATAGGGTCTCCCTGTAGCCCCAGATGGCCTAGAACTCACTATGTAGACCAGGCTGGCCTTGAACTCACAGAGATCCGCCTGCCTTTGTCTCCTGAGTGCTGGGACTAAAGGTGTGCGCCACCATGCCTGGCTCTTGAATTTATTTTTGATGCTGCTTTTATTTCAGAGCTAGGTTCATTCTAGCCTTCAAACCAGATTGTCTTTTCAAAGACGGTAGTAGTCTGCGTTCTGAACCCTTGTTCCCAATTTTATGTGTGTGATTTATATCCTAGAACATTTATATTTGAAGAATAGCTTTCTGAGAACAGGGCTTTAATCCCAATAAAGTTTCATGCTAGGAATTACCAATGCTCTGGCAAGATAGGTCTCTGGAGGCGTGGATTTGTGCCACTCTCAGATCACAAAGAAGCAATTGTGTTGATCCTTGATGCCACTGGGTAGGGCAAGAGGGTGTTAGATAAGGAACAAAGAACAATGGGCCATAAAAAGGTAGAGGTGAATTCAGCCAACTATATCACATCTGGGAGCGTACATAGGTAGGCCTTGTAAGTGGCAGGCTACTTCACCCCTCTCCACTTTAGGTCCAATCAGAGTGGGTGTTCCAGGGACATTGCCTCCTAGTGCTGACCCCTCCTTCCCACAGTGCCTTTCTTCCTGACATGGAGTGTGGTGAACTCAGTGCATTGGGCTAATGGTTCAACACAGGCTCTGCCAGCCACCACCATCCTGCTGCTTCTGACGGTTTGGCTGCTGGTAGGCTTTCCTCTCACTGTCATTGGAGGCATCTTCGGGAAGAACAACGCTAGCCCCTTTGATGCACCTTGTCGCACCAAGAATATTGCCCGGGAGATCCCACCTCAACCCTGGTACAAGTCTACTCTCATCCACATGACTGTTGGAGGCTTTCTGCCTTTCAGGTATCCTCTTCATCCCATGCCGTCATTGACATTTTGTTTACTTTTTAGTTTTGTGGGGGTTTTTTTTTGAGACAGTCTCGCTCATGCTAGCTTAGAATTTACAATGCTCCTGCCTTGAGTGCTTGGATTATAGATAGGTGTTACACCTCGGCGTTGTGAGGTTCTTGATTCAACTCTCTTTCCCCACTTAACCTTAATGCTATAATCTAGTATTAATCCCCAGTTCAGCAAGAGCTCATGAATGGTTCCTCCTGTCCTGAAGCAGGAACGAGCTGCAGTTAGTTCAGATGAGAATCTCACTTGTGAACTCTCCTACTTAGCAAACTGAAAGAGTAATTACATGGGCTTTAAGCCCCACATAATGCCTATAAGGGCCTGGTTTCTGTCTTCTATTTACAGGCAATGTAGAGCTTAAAGCCTTTTTGATTACTCATTCACTTTGTTAAATACCCTTTGGATAATGCAGTGGAAAACAGGATAAGATGCCTTCTTGCTTGCTTTCCTCTCTGTCTTTCTCCCTTTTTATAGTACTGGGGAGTTGCTGAGGCCTCACGCATTGCTTGGCAAGCACTCTGCCACTGAGCTACGTCCCCAGCCCTTTTTAATCTTTCATTTTGAGTCAGTCTCCCTAAATTACCCAAACTGGCTCTGTCGCCCAGGCTGCCTTTGAACTTGCAATCCTGCCTCAGCCTCCCACATAGCAGAGATTACAGGCTTAGGCCACCTGGCCTAGCTAAGAGCTCTGCTTTCAAGGAAGATGTTCATGAAATGGGAGCAACTAATCATTAAGTTTGGAGTAGACGTGCTTTCCACAGTGTCTCTGCTGTTGGGAAGGTGTGGGCGGGATTTTGGCTCAGCCATGGTGCTGGCAGTGCACAGCACTTTAATGCTGTGTATTGTTTCTTCTCTTCACAGTGCCATCTCTGTGGAGCTGTACTACATCTTTGCCACAGTCTGGGGTCGAGAGCAGTACACTTTGTATGGCATCCTCTTCTTTGTCTTCGCCATCCTGCTGAGTGTGGGAGCTTGCATCTCCATCGCACTCACCTACTTCCAGTTGTCTGGGGAAGACTACCGCTGGTGGTGGCGATCTGTGCTGAGTGTTGGCTCCACCGGCCTCTTCATCTTCCTCTACTCCGTTTTCTACTATGCTCGGCGCTCCAACATGTCAGGGGCAGTTCAGACAGTGGAGTTCTTTGGCTACTCTTTACTCACAGGTTATGTCTTCTTCCTCATGCTGGGAACCATCTCCTTTTTTTCTTCCCTAAAGTTCATCCGTTATATCTATGTTAACCTCAAGATGGACTGAGTTCTGAGTGACAGAACTATTGATCTGTGCTTTCATCACGCCCTGTTGATCTCTCCTGACAGCTTCTCTTCTGAGGGAATTTGCCTTCCCCTTTGCCCTTTGGGCCTTCCTTCCTCAGGAAGGACTGGAAATTTAAAATCTCTATTATATAAGAAATATATATATTTGGACTTTTTAAGTTGCCTTCCATTTTGGTCCTGATTTTTTTTCTTTTTACAATTATTAAAATAAAATTTATTAAGAAAAAGGATCCTGTAGTTGGAGGTTTTGGTTATACAAGCCTGAGGTCTGTAGTCACCACACGGTTCCTGCCACTGACGTGCAACCGGAGTTCTCCAAGGGAGCGGGGGAACTCTCAGCGCCGGAACCTACCCGGCCGGGGCTCCGTTTCCGTTGCTTAGCCAGAGCTTGGCCCAACGGAAACAGCAGAGCTGGAGCTTTCCATGCGAAATGAGTTGAATCACCCAGGCTACCGGAGAGGCGTGGAGTAACGCCTTTTCCGCCGGAAGTGGGTGCCAGTCTCCACGTGCGGTTCCTCCCCCACCACCCGGCCTTAGCAGCGGCTCCGCGGATGCCATGGAGCCTGCGGGTCTGGAACAGATCCTGCGGGAGCTGCTGCTGCCGGACACCGAGCGCATCCGCCGGGTACAGGGCAGGCGGGACTGGGCCGGGGCGAAGGGGAGGCTGCGGGATAGGCCCGGCTTTGACCCCCGCCTTCCACCAGGCCACAGAACAGCTCCAGATCGCCCTTCGGGACACTGCCGCCCTGCCTGCGCTCTGCGACCTGTTGGCCTCGGCGGTCGACCCTCAGGTGGGCCGCCCGCCCCTCCCTGCCCGAGTCCCCTGTCCTAACCCTGCGTCATCTTTACATGCCTAACTCGGCGCCTTACCCTAGATCCGCCAATTTGCAGCAGTCCTGATCCGCAGAAGACTGAGCACCCGCTGGCAGCGCCTGGTAGCTGAGCAGCGGGAGAGGTGGGCCGGGTCTGGAACGGGAGGGGCCAGGTCAAACCAACCCTTTGGCGGACTGGGTACCAAGCACCTGTCACTTGTCTTCCAGCCTCAAGTCCCTGGTCCTGACGGCCCTGCAGAGAGAGACAGAGTAAGTGCCTGACTCTAGGCTACGATCCTCTGCAGGTTTCAGCCCCAGGCTAGGATTTAGGGGACCTCTTCTAGAGGGAAGAGTAAGATTCTAGTCTAAGGTGGTATGCCGGGCGCGGTGGTGCACACATTTAATCCCAGTCCTTGGGAGGCAGAGGCAGGCGGATCTCTGTGAGTTCAAGGCCAGCCTGGTCTACATAGTGAGTTCCAGGCCAGCTCCACTACAGGGAGACCCTGTCTCAAAAAGCCCCACCCCCCAAAAAAGATTCTAAGTCTGTGTTGAAAACTAAAGTTTCTGAGAATGGATGATAATGATCTGTCAAAGCTAAATCAGAAAAATGAGACAAGTTCAGCCTGTGTGGGGCTGAACGCACTAGACTATAGCATCAAGCCCCCACCCCTAGTTGCTGTCTTATGGGATCTATCTTAGGAAAAACTCTGCCACACCTGAATGTTTCTGTTGGCAACTCCATTGAGGTTGGGGCATTGTGTGTAAGGAAAGGTACTGGAGGGTGATTATGGGGGAATCTCCCCCTTTTTAGGCATTATGTGAGTGTCAGCCTGGCCCAGCTATCAGCCACCATTTTTCGAAAGGAAGGCCTGGAAGCCTGGCCTCAGCTCATGCACCTTCTTCAGCAGAGTACTCACAGCCCCCACAGCCCTGAGAGAGAGGTACTGTTACACTGCTGGCAGGAGGGAGGGACTGAGAGACTGCATAGACCATAAGCTTTTCCCTCTCAACTACTACTCCTGGACAGATGGGACTTTTGCTGCTGAGTGTGGTGGTAACTTCCCAGCCTGAGGCCTTCCAACCCCACCAACGGGAGCTTCTTCGGCTTCTGAATGAGACTCTTGCTGAAGGGGGCTCTCCGGGACTGCTCTTCTACTCCCTGCGCACTCTGACTGCCATGGCCCCCTACCTCAGGACTGATGACATGGTGAGACATGGGCCATCACCTCCCCCAGCTCTGTATCCCTTGGCCTTTGTGTACTCACTTTTTGAAAGTTTTGGTCCAACCGGGCGTGGTGGTACACGCCTTTAATCCCAGCACTCAGGAGGCAGAGGCAGGCGATCTCTGTGAGTTCAAGGCCAGCCTGGTCTACATAGTGAGTTCCAGGACAGCTGGGGCTACAGGAAGACCCTGTCTCAAAAAGACCAAAAAAAAAAAGTTTTAGTCCAAGCTGTTCCAGGTTTTCATTCTTCCTTTCTTTCTAACAGTTGAAGGAAGTACTGTGGGTGGCTGGACCTGTCTGGTGTGCCTGGGCTCCTTAGATTGCAGACTGTGGGGAAGCTGGTAGCTTCTGGGGCCTGAGATTAGGCTGCACCATGCTTTCTGTGATTCAGCTCATCCTGTGTCCTCCAGCCTCTTGCACGGATGTTGGTGCCCAAACTCATCATGGCAGTGAAGACTCTGATCCCCATAGATGAGGTGAGGACACATGGAAGGGAGCTCCGGCTGGAGGGAGAATGCACACACATCCAGCCTAGTTATCCAAGTAACCTCATGACTTGTCTGTCAGGTAAAGGCCTGTGAGGCCCTAGAGGCCCTGGATGAACTGCTGGAGTCCAAGGTGCCCATCATCACACCTCACCTCTCTGAGGTCCTCGCATTCTGCCTGGAGGTGAGCCTGAGGTGGGCACTGCCCCTGCTACTTGCTTTACTGCAAGTTTTCTTGCTTGTTTCTGATTCTTGTTAGTATTTGAGTAGGTGGCTAAGAACGTGGGCCTTGGCGACGCAATACGTGTGCGTATTCTCTGCAGCCTCACCTTTTTGGTCAAAGTCAAAAGCAAGGTAAGTACCCCCTAGTGTCTATTACCCCATCCTTATATCCTCAGCCTCACCCTTGGCCCTGTTCTCAAGGCATCGGAAGTTCCCTGGTTCAAGCCCTGGTCTTGCTTCAACCTATCCCTGCCTTGAAGATTGGGACTCTCTTGCTGGACTTCTTGTGGTCTGGCAGGCTGGAGTTTTTTATGTGAGCCCATTCTGGGAGGGGATTTTCAAGAACAGTTCTCTCCCTCTCAAGGCCTTACTAAAGAACAATCTCCTGCCTCCCTTGCTGCATACCCTTTTCCCTATTATGGCTGCTGAGCCACCCATGGGCCAGTTGGATCCTGAAGACCAGGATTCTGAAGAGGAAGAATTGGAGATGGGCCCAGTGGGGGAGAGTCCCAAGCACTTTGCTGTACAGGTGATATATTAGTTTTATCATCACTGTGACCAAATAGTTGACAGCAACAACTTAAGGGGAGGAAGTATTATAGCCCACGGTTTCAGAGATTTGAGTTTACTGTGGTAGGGAAGGAATGGTAAAACAGAACAGTTCAAGTCAAGGCAACCAGGAAGCAAAGCAGAACAGTTTTACATTATGGACAGGAAGCAGAGAAGGGAACTAGAAGGGGCCGTAAGGAAATGCCCATGACCTGCTTCCTCCAACTAAGCTGTACCTCCTAATGATGGCCTATTTATTGATCTATCAAGGTGATTAACCCATTCATTAGATTAGAGCCCTCCCGATCTAATTGGCTCTGAAAAAGCCATCTTAGTCTTCTAAGCATTTTCAGTTCAGTGAATTTGATCATTAAAACCAACCACCATAACCAGGTGTGGTGGTATATACCTGTACTTGGGAGGCTGAAGTGCAGTTGTGAGCTTGAGGCCTGGGCTATACTGTCTCAACAAACATAAAATCAGATAGAACAGGTGGTAAGTGGCTGTAGGTGTTTGGAGAGGCAGAGATGGAGTCAAAAAATAAAAAAATCTTCCTGACCTTTCTCAGGTTGTGGACATGCTAGCACTACACCTTCCCCCTGAGAAGTTCTGTCCCCAGGTGGTAAGTGTGCCTCTTCTGTTGCTCCTATCCCCAGGTGTATGTAGTCCCCTACAGCCAAGGATGTCTGGGCATGGGTAGGTGTCATGGGCCTGATGTGAAAACAGTAGGTTCTTGGTGGGCTTTCAGGAAAGTGCCATGTACTCCCCTAGATGCCCATGCTAGAAGAAGCCTTTCGGAATGAGAGCCCATACCAGCGCAAAGCAGGGTTCCTGGTGTTGGCTGTGCTGTCTGATGGTGCTGGTGATCACATCAGGCAAAGGTACGACATTCAGTTTCCTGTCGCAGGGTGAGGTAGGCATGTTGAGAGGATACCTGCACATACCACGGCAGTCCTGGTGTGCTTGTTGAGTTTAATTGTTAATATTGTTAATTAGCCATAGTATTTGCCACCTTCCAAAAGTGTCCGGGTTTGAACCAGGCGTGGTGGTGCATGCCTTTGATCCCAGCACTTTGAGGCAGGCACAGGCCGATCTCTGTGAATTCAAGGCCAGCTGTGACTACAGGGAGACCCTGTCTCAAAAAGACCAAAATAAATAAATAGAAAGTGTTCTATTTTGGAGGATAAATGAAATGGCCTTCCAATCATAGAGACTAAAGGATGGTTTAGAGCATCCAGTGCCAGAGAAAGCCTTGGTCATTTTCAGAAAAAATGAAGAGAACAAATCAGATTAGGGCTCTTAGATCTGGTCCCTCAGACTTTGTTCTTCTGTCCTGCCCCTTTCAGATTGCTGTCTCCACTGCTGCAGATCGTGTGCAAGGGCCTGAGTGACCCCTCACAGATTGTACGCAATGCTGCACTGTTTGCCCTGGGCCAGTTTTCAGAGAACTTACAGGTTAGCAAGGCTAAGTGTGGATAGCTGCCAGGTAAAGGCCCCCTTCCCCCATGCTGGGGCCCTTGTCCCCTCAGCTTTCATCTCCTCAAGCATTCCTGCTGCCGTTGGCACTCAAGGGTGTGCCTTGCTGGTGAGCCTGAGCGGTGTCCTGCTTCCTCCTTCCCCAGCCCCATATCAGCAGCTATTCAGGGGAAGTGATGCCACTGCTCCTTGCCTACCTGAAGTCAATGTCTCTAGAGCACACACACCACCTAGCCAAGGCCTGCTATGCCCTCGAGAACTTCGTGGAGAACCTAGGTGGTGATGGCGGGGGAGAGTGCAGGGGAGGGGAAGACAGCTGCAGCTTTGGCTAAAGGGAGCACAATTGCATCTCCCTGAATTGCTGCCTGTGGTGGGAGAGGTACGGAAGAGCCACATGGTGGGTCAAGCCAGAGGGAGGTGGGTCTTGCAGGTCAGAGACCTGGGTTGGTTGGTAGAGAAGCACACTTGCCCACAGGGTCCAAAGTGGAGCCCTACCTTCCGGAGCTTATGGATTGTATGCTGCAGCCCCTGAGGAACTTCAGCAACCCCCGGGCCAAGGAACTAGCTGTGAGCGCCCTAGGAGCTATTGGTGAGCAGAAAGGGGCAGGAGGCAATGATACAGGGTTTACCCAGAGAGCCTGTGGCAGGTCTTCCCCACCCTCCTTCCATGTCTCATTCTGTTGTATGCTGCAGCCACAGCTGCCCAAGCCTCCCTGCTGCCCTACTTCCCTACCATCATGGAGCATTTGCGGGAATTCCTGTTGACAGGCCATGAAGACCTTCAGCCTGTGCAGATCCAGAGCCTGGGTAAGTGAGGGGCTCCCAGACTGGGTTCTCAGTGCCGTGGAAAGGCTAGTATTCGCCTGATGTCTACAGAGCTCTCGGGGCAGTTGGATATCTTCCTTTGATGAAAAGGTGTTCTCTGCACTACCTAAAAGTAGGATGAACTTACAGAATGCTTCCCAGCTGCCACCCTTGGTTCCCTAGTCTACCTCCATATCCCAGTGCTGACTGAGCTCCTGCTCCCACAGAGACCCTGGGAGTGCTAGCCCGAGCACTGGGAGAGCCCATGAGGCCCCTGGCTGAGGAATGCTGTCAGCTGGGGCTGGGCTTATGTGACCATGTAGATGATCCTGACTTGCGGCGCTGCACGTGAGTGACCTCTCATTCCTCCTGCCTACCCATTGGATTGACAGTCCTCACTCCAGATACCAGTCCTTTGATCTTGGACCATAGTCAGGTTTCCTGGGCTCTCCAGTTTTGTCTGTCTACAGCAGACAGCACTGTACAGATTCTCTCTGCCTCTACCAGGTACGGTCTGTTTGCAGCCTTATCAGGACTGATGGGAGAGGGTCTGGCACCCTACCTACCACAAATCACCACACTCATGCTGTTGTCACTGCGTTCCACCGAGGGCATAATGGTGAGCAGAGGGTGGGTGTATTGGGCCAGTTAGACAAAGCTAACCCTGTAATGTGATTTATCTCCTGGTCCTACCCGAGCCAAGTCCCTGCTTTGCTTTCTCCATCCAGCCTCAGTATGATGGAATCAGCTCCTTCCTTCTGTTTGATGATGAAAGCGATGGGGAGGAGGAAGAAGAGCTCATGGATGAAGATGTGGAAGAAGAGGATGACTCTGAAATCTCAGGGTATGGAGGAGTGCCCTTTTCAGGAAGGCAGACTTTGATTCTGGACATGGGCCTAGTGCTGGATCTGCTCCGTCCTGGTACCTGATCATCACTGCCTCTCCACCTTTCTCTAGGTACAGTGTGGAGAATGCCTTCTTTGATGAGAAAGAAGATACCTGCACTGCCCTGGGGGAGATTTCGATGAACACTAGGTAAGCACTAGCCCTTCCCTTGTTCTGTAAACCACACTAGATGCCCTTTCCCCACTACTGTGTGTCTTCCCATAGTGTGGCCTTTCTTCCGTACATGGAGAGTGTTTTTGAAGAAGTATTCAAGCTGCTGGAAGTAAGTCAGTTCGTGGGGTCCTTGAGCTAGGGCTGTCTTTACCCTGCACACAGCGAGCACATACCTGCCCTCTTTATTCCAGTGTCCTTACCTGAATGTGCGGAAGGCAGCCCACGAAGCTCTGGGTCAATTCTGTTGTGCACTGCATAAGGCTTGCCAGAGCTGCCCCTCAGAACCCAACAAGGCTGGTGAGAAGGAGAAGCTAGCGGGCTGGGTGGCCTGGGGAGTAGCCGGGCCTGACCAAGCCTTGGGCCCATCGTGTCTCCAGCTCTGCAGGCTGCCTTGGCTCGAGTGGTACCATCTTACATGCAGGCAGTGAAAGGAGAGAGAGAGCGCCCAGTGGTGATGGCGGTTCTGGAGGCCTTGACAGGGGTGCTGCGCAGCTGTGGGACCCTCACACTGCAGCCCTCGGGATGCCTCGGTGAGCTCTGCAGCATGCTCAAGACTGTGTTGCAGAGGAAGGTGAGCAAAGGGGACTGTGGGAAAAGGAGATGACAGACCCCAAAAGAGTGGATTGTCAGAGGTCATAAGTCCAGCTCTAGCAACTCACCCACTAAGGAAAGAAGGGGTGAGAGTCCAGGCTCAGATGAACTACCTCTTCCACAGACAGCCTGCCAGGACGTCGATGAGGAGGAGGATGACGAAGATGATCAGGTGAGAGCTATGGACGATCCAGGGAGTCTCCACAGGGCCAGTGGTAGATAGTGCTCTCAGCTTGACCTCTAGGAGCCAGGGCTGCTATGAGAAATTGGTGACAGCCGGAACGGTGCCACCCTCATCCCAGTAAGACAATAGAGACTTCAGAGAAGGAGAGTAGTATGGGACAGGAAGGGGAGTGATAGGTGGAGGGCCTAGCTGTAAACAAAACCCAGCTGTTCAGTCCCATGAACGGAGGGCAGTCCCCAGAATCACCTGCAGCCAGTAGCAGAGCAGGGTGGGTTAGGTGCACTATCACCCAGCTGGCCCTGGTTGCTCTAGCCCCTGACCTGGCTCCACAGGCAGAGTATGATGCCATGTTACTAGAGCATGCTGGAGAGGCCATTCCTGCCCTGGCAGCCGCTGCTGGAGGAGATGCCTTTGCTCCCTTCTTTGCCAGTTTCTTGCCGCTGTTGTTGTGCAAGACGGTGAGTGTTCTGTCTTCTGGCTTCACATCCTGGCTACCCATGCACCTGGTGCCTGTACCTCCCAAGCCCACCCGCATGCCAATCTGTACTCTGTTAACCTCCCCTGCAGAAACAGGGCTGCACAGTGGCAGAGAAGTCCTTTGCGGTGGGGACACTGGCAGAGTCCATTCAGGGGCTGGGTGCTGCTTCAGCCCAGTTTGTTTCTCGGCTGTTCCCCGTACTGTTGAGTTCTGCCAGGGAAGCAGACCCTGAGGTGCGGAGCAATGCCATCTTTGGACTGGGTGTACTTGCAGAGCATGGAGGCCGCCCTGCTCAGGAGTATCCTGTGCTGGCAGTAGGGGAGGGTGGGATTGGAAGCATTCCTAGGGCTCCCCAGGGTGGGGAGTGGTGAAGCTTGCCAGTGTGCGCACGTATTCCTTAACTGTGGACCAGCCACTTTCCCAAGCTACTGGGCCTCCTTTTGCCTCTCCTGGCAAGGGAGCGACATGATCGTGTCCGTGATAACATCTGTGGAGCTCTTGCCCGTCTGTTGATGGCCAGTCCAGCAAGAAAACCAGAGCCCCAGGTAAAGGAAGGGGCATCGGGCAGGGGCTGGAAGCCAGGGACAATGGAGGGGACTGGACATGTGGGCCTGAGGTATCCATGTGTCTAGGTGCTGGCTGCCTTGCTACATGCCCTGCCACTGAGGGAAGACATGGAGGAGTGGGTGACTATAGGGCAGCTCTTCAGCTTCCTGTACCAGAGCAGCCCTGACCAGGTAACCTCGATGCAGGGGCCCTCACAGGGAAGTGTTAGGCTTTATTCTCAGCGATAGGCAGAGCTGATAGGTGAGTTTCACGTGCCCTTAGACGGTCCTTACCCTTATGTTTTCCTTTGTTTTTTCTTCTGAGACGGTCTCAGGTATCCCAAGCTGACCTCAAATTTGTTATGTAGCCGAGGATAGCCTTGAGCCCCTGATCCTTCTGCCTCCTCTCTCTGCCTCCCAGGTACAGTGGTAACAGGCATGCACCACTATACCTTATTTTGTGCAGTGCTGGGCATCAAACCCAGGGCTTTGTTCACGCTAGGCAGACACTACCAACTGAGCTACATCCTGAACTTCTTCTTTTCTTATTTGTCCATGGAATTGGCAGATAGCCTTGTAATATGAGACAAAGGACTTCTCAGTGTAGCCCTTCTGGGCTGAGCTAGCAGTCACAGCTTTCCTAGGCTGCTTTCCTAGACCAGGGCCAGAAAAGCAATCCTCTACAGAGCCGTGGAGTCCCTTCGCCCACCCACCGTACATACATTCGAATTAGAGAAGCTGTGCTTTCTCAATGGTTTTACATATGCCAGCTACCTAGGTTCGGACTTCTAGTGTTCTGTCACCTTTGTTGGATACCTTTGAGTATATTATGTTGGAATAGTGCCTGGCCGTCTGGGCCTCTTTTTTGGTTTTGAGGCTATGACTGTAATCATCTTTGATCCTCACCTCCAAAAAGAGATCATTAACCACCATGTTTCCCTCTTCTCGTTGTGCTGGGTGTCAACTCAAACAGCCCTCAGGATTTTTCTGTCCTTGGCCCCAACCACCCACTCTAGTCCTGGGGCCCAGGGCTGGTACCCCAAGTTGACCACTCCTTCCCTGTAGGTTGTGGATGTGGCTCCTGAGCTCTTGCGCATCTGCAGCCTGATTCTGGCAGACAACAAGATCCCACCAGGTGAGGGTGGCAGTCATAGGAAGAGGCTAGGGGAAAATGAGGGGCAGCAAGGGTCAAAGAGTTTGAGGTGGTAAGGGTTTAGGAGCCCATTCCTCCCTCAGGACCCCTCCTTCTGCACTCTCTACCTAGACACTAAGGCTGCACTACTGCTGCTCCTGACGTTCCTTGGCAAACAGCACACCGACAGCTTCCATTCAGCACTGGGCTCACTGCCTGCTGACAAAGTTCAGGAAATCCAGGCCATACTGGGCCTTACCTAGACTACAGGCGAGCCAGAGAGAGCAGAGCCTGCAGGACTGAAGATCACCAACCAGCCCAGTTCCAGTTCATGCCTTACCAAAGATTCTAGGCATTGTATCCATTTGAAGTCAGCCCTGCTGGCTGTCTTACAGGGGTATCCCTGGGACTAGATCTGTTACAAATGGAATTCTGGCGTCATACTGTAATAAAGGCAGCTTGTTTTCTGCTTGGACACTAGCTCTAAGAGCAGGAATGCTAGAGGTGTGCATTCAGAAATGAGCCAGGCAGAGCCCAGTGAGCCAGAACATGGTTTAATGAAGCTGGCTTGTAAACCCTCCGTGGAATCTGGGCCCTGGCTGAATCAGGAGGCGCCCGTATGGCTTCTCTTGTTCTACAAGAAGGATCTTCTGTGCGCAGAGCACTGATCAAGAAAGGAAAAGGCAGGTCACACAGAGTCCCTGTAGCAGCCTCTGCCCTGTCTGTCCCAGCCATACCTGCACATTCCTGTACCCACACTTACCCAGGAGCAGGTAGAAGACCCGGGCAGCCAACTTTCGGGGACTGAGTGGTGACACCAGGCTGCTGAAGTCGGGCTTCCTGTTGGCCTGCAGCTCCAGTGCTACTGCCCTGAAGGGACTGAGGATTAGCTGAGGTCTTAGCCCAGCCCTCCCCATGCAGCAGCTCTCCTGGTACCTGTGCACAGCCTCCAAAGAAAGCAGCTCAGGCTCTGGGGGCATCTCCACAGGCACTTCGGGCAGTTCAGGCACTGCAGGCAATGCAAGGGGCTCCGGCAGCTCTGCCTCAGTCCAGGCCCTAGGACACCGTGGGAGTCACAGCAGCAAAGGTGGTGGGTAGTGGTGACAACAGGCACAGACACTAGCCCTGGCCAGAGCTCTGGGTTTGAGTTTACACAGCGTGGCTGCTTACCACCGTTCTTCTGGGGGGATAAGGCTGATGCGGGACTTCTCCTCTTCAGCTGCTTCTAGAGAGAGTTCTGTTGCAGGGAGAGAAAGCGCTGAGGAAGAGTCTGCTTGACTTTGTGGGGACCTCGTAGCCAAGCTGGGGGCATAGTTCAGTGGTAAGGTGCTTGCCTAACATACATGAAATACTAGATTCAGCCCCCAGTTCCTCCAAGCCACCCAGCCTCAACCAGATTCTGGAGGCTTAGGATAGACTTGTGCAAAGTGAGGTAACCAGAGAATCAGATGTCTACTTTCTTAGTGGTATACATACTCCCTCACTGTTACAGACAGCTTCAGTAGCTGGAGTGCTAGCATCCTGGGACAGTGGTTAGGGTAGTGGTCTCTGTTCTCTTATGCAAGTGCTTACCTGCAGACAGCATGAGGGGACCGCTGGGCTCCTGGGCCTCCCTCAGGACCTGCAGATGGAAAAGCATCAGTGTCAGGGTCTTAGTCTGGTAGCCTGTGCAGTTGGTACATGGCAGGAGAAAGCAGCCTGCAGAGCTCACACGTAGGCTTTACAGGAAGCGGTGGGTGCAGTTACCTCAATCTCACTCGGAACTTCAATCTTCTTTTCCTCCTCTTCTGCTTCCCTTTCCGCTGCCTCTTCCCTCTCTAGGCGTGGTCTTTCCCTGAGCATTCTTGGGGGTAACTGGGCACAGTGGGTCCAAAAAGCCAGTAATTCTGGGTGTAGCCAGCCAGCTGAACACAAGGGAAACGGTTTAAGTTATACCAAGACTGAGAAATCCGAGTTCCGAAGCTCCCACCTGCCAAACTTTGGGCCTTCTTACGGAGAGTTGGGGTTCTGAAGAGCTCCACTGGGCTCTTGATCATCCTCTTGGGAAGCTGGACCACTGGCTGAAAGATGGGAGAAGGTCAGAGGCCCCTTTATGAGGGAGCGGCTCCTCACTGCCCCTTCATCTCTACCCATTCTTCCAGGGCCTCTGCCCCATTTTTAGGCTCATGACCCTGCCTACCTTGCTTGTGGCTAAAGGTAGAGTATAACCTGGTTTTCGTGGTATGCATAGATAACTGGCTGTATGCAATCCCACATCAGATTCCCAGTGTTCCCTAGGAATTTAGAAGCCAGCCTGACTTCCATCCCTCCATTCCCTAGGGAGGACCTGAGCTGTCCTCACATATTCCAAGCAGTGGGCTCTGGTCTGCAGTTGTTCCTCAAATTTCTCCCGGGAGATCTGAGTCTCTCTGTCCCAGAATAGTAACTGGCGCCGGCGCGGCCTGCGAACAGGTGGGCCCTCAGGAGGTGGGAGCTTCTGCGGGAGTGAGAGGTGGAAGATGGTCGGGCCTTTTCATATCAACCTGGTGGACTAGTGGGATCTGCCCCTGGGGATTGCTTGGGAAAGGACTTAGGTAAGACCTCCAAGTGCTTGTGTAACTCATAGGTCAAGTGAGGCCATACACAATGGGGTATAGAAAGGGACATCTTTTACTTATGTAAACAGAGACCCGGTGTAAGCTAGCAATGGCCCTGGGCTCAGGCAAGCAGCTCTGGGAGGGGAGGACAGTACTCACCTCTGGGCTAGGTGGGACAGGCAGCCGCAGCTCCGGAGGAGGCGTCACCTCTGCAACACCACCAGAGGTCTGATTCTGTCCCGTAACTCGTGAGCCCTTCATTGTGTTTTGCTCCCCCCCTTTTTAAGACAGTGTCTGACTCTAGCCCAGGCTGGTGTCAAATTCATTGCATCCTGCCTCAGTTTGTTAAGTGATAAGATTATAGGTGTGGACCAGGATGCAGAGGCAGGATTTCTGTGAGTTCAAGCCCACCCTGGTCTACATAGTAAGTTCTAAACCAGCTGGGGTTGCAGGGAGACCCTGCTTCAAAAGAAAGAAGAGAGAAAACAGGTGTGACTCCCACAGCCGCCTAGTCCCTTCACGCCCACTTACTCCCACCAGCAAAGAATACCACTGTCCCTCGGAAGGCTGGAAAAAGGCTTTTGTTCAGCAGCCGTGCAGGTATTCTCTAGAAAGCGCCTAGGCTTTGGTGGACACTTACCAGTGAGTAGGGCCCCAGGCTCCCAGCCTGGCAGCATCTGTACCTCAGGACTGATGACCTGCCCTGGAAGTGCTTCTCTTGCCCTTTCTACCCTGAGGAAAGACAAGCGAAACACATAAGGAAACCCTTCCCAGCACTGACCCCCTGCGTGGTACAGGGATTCCTGTCCTTACTGTACAGGAGCTGGAGGCGAGAGCGAGGGGACTACAGCTTCACCCTCCAAGGCCCGGGATTCTTCCTTGGATTCTGCAGAGAGAGGATCAAAATTTAGAAAGGGAAGAGAGGAACACTGTCCAGTCCCAGGCTACCTATGCTGGGACCTGACCATCCAGTGCTGGGGCTCTCAGCTGGAGAGCCCTGCGTTTCCGATATTCCTCTAACAAGACGGCTTCATCTTCCTCTGCAATCAGCAGGTCCAACTCTCTGCGGCTGACCTCTGGGAGGTCCCGTTCCCCCTGTGGAGAGAGGAAAAGCAAGGGGAAGAGAATGGATTTACTAAGCTAAGCCCAAGGAAGCTCGTTGGGTACCAAGGGACAGGGTGTAGGGAAACAGAGGCAGAGAAGGCAGAACATGGGCACAGAAGGGTGTAAAAGCAAAGGGGCAGGGCCTGAAGCCGTGCTTTAGGGACACTCACGACAATCTGCAGCATGCGAATAGGCTCCACCTCCTGGAGAGTGATGGCTTCAGGAATCTGGATGATGGCTAAGGCCATAGAAAGATAGGAGAGTCATACTGACCTACTTCGTTTCAAGTCATTGGGACAAAAACATGGACGTTGGAGACAAAATCAGACTCAAGCTAGTCACCTGACCCCAAGTGAATCTCAGAAAGACAAAAAAAAAAAAAAAATGGAGATGGGAACTCTGACCTCATTTTTAAAAATTTATTTATTTATTTAGAGATAGGGTCTCACTATGTACACATGACTGACCCGGAACTCACTATGCAGACCAGGCTGGCCTCAAAGAGATCTGCCTACCTTTGCCTCCCAAGTGGGAGTGCTAGGACTAAGGTATACACCACCTTACCCAGCCTTCCTTTTGACGCTTCTCTTTTTTCCCTCTTTTTTTTTCGGTCTTTTTGAGTCAGGGTCTCCCTTGCAGCCCTAGGTGGCCTTGTGGCCTAGGTGGCCTGGAACTCACTATGTAGACCAGGCTGGCCTTGAACTCACTGAGATTCTCCTGCCTCTGCCTCCTGAGTGCTGTGATTACAGGCTCTGCCACTGTGCCTGGCTTCCTTTTGATTCTTAGTGAGGCAGTGTGATGAGATTACACAAACTGCCTCCCCTCAGGGCCTGTTGTTTTGTTGTTTTGTTTTGACAGAAGAGTCTCCTTCATGCTGGCCTTGAACTCTTAAACTTCCTGCCTCCACTTTCTGAGTGCTGGAATTTCAGGTGTCCAGCCGGCTTTTTTGTATTTTGTTTTGTAACTTTGACATGGTTTCCTTAACTTGTCCAGGCTGGCCTGGAACCGACTGTAGTCTTCCTGCCTCTGCCTCCCAAGTAAGTGAGATTACAGGCCTCCTCTATCACTAGGCCTCACTGGGCCTAGCTCTTAAAAGATATCTTGAGATTTTCTATGCCTCTGATCAGAAAGAGTCTTTCTGCTGACCTGGTTTCCTCGGCTCTGTGATGACTTCAGGGGGCCTCTCAGGAATTTTCTCTGGGGTTGCAGCCTCTAAAAGATGTCGAATCTTTAGGAAGGCATTGGGAACAAAAGATAGGTTTCAGCTTTAGCCATCTACTTTCCTATGTTCAAAGTAATCAGTGAACACTGATCTGGTAATCTCCCCATATACTTTCTTGGTTTTTGTTTTGAGACAGGGTCTCACTATGTAGCCTAGGATAGCATCAAACTTTTGACAATCCTGTTTGAGACTTTTGAGTTTTGGAATTAGCACCCCCACACACACACACACACTTCAGAGCTGGGAATTAAATCCAGGACCTTGTGCATGTTAAGCAAATACTCCACCACTGAGCAACACCCCCAGACCTAAACCCAGTTCTTGTGCAATTTGACACCGTTATGCAGTAAATCCGTCACCACCTAGTCCCCTGTTCCTGCCCTCACCTCAAATTAGCCTTTGTCAGTTTGTGCAAGAAGCACTGCAGGATCGAAATCAGCTGTCATAGGAGACAGGGATGAATAGAAAAGTAGATGGTTGAGTGGGAACAAATGTAGATGTGACCAGTAAGAGTCAATACAAGTAAGAAAGCAACGCTTAGTGAAGTGCTCAGCTTTCAAACATCATTTGGTTCTGGCTGTGAATAGGTTAATTTCGTGGTAAAGGGTAGCATTTAAACTAAGTCTGTAAGGATATGCAGGACCTGCCTAGTGAGAATGAAGGGTGACCACTACAGGCTACAGAAACTTATTTTCACAAGCAAAGAAATGAATGTCCATTTTTAATGAACTGGTGTTTGGTAGCTAAAGATGCTAGAGGAGAGAAGATGGGTACCCTAAATCCAGACACTGAGAGCCCCAAATATATTGTATGCATCCCGGAGCAGCTGATTGAATGGGGAACCAGAGAATGGAGTAATTCTAAGCTGTAGGGGTGATGGGAAAGGAGGACAGAGGTAAGAAAGACCAACACATAGATGATGAGGCCCTGGTGTCTCAGTGGTGGGAACAGTGTGGAACTGGGGAACTGCCTCTAGTGGGGAGACCATCCTATCAGACTGTTCCTGAGTCGGCAAGATCAAGAACTTTGCCTGTATGGGCCCACCAAGGCCGTCCCCTTCCCTGTGGCTTGCCAATGGAGACTGCAGGATCCCTTCCCCAAACCCCAGGGTCAGATTGACACAAGGACACTCCCGCCCTTTCTACACTGGCAATTTGTGATTTTGCGGTGTTCCCAGGGGCATGAGGCCTACCTGAGGGATCTCCAAGGGGCTGGGAAGTCTAGGATCCACAGACATCATCCCGAAAAAGGGGTCTGGAGCATCTTCCAGGGTCTCCATCATGGTCATGTAGTTCAGGAGAAGCTGGTTAGGTCTGGGAGAGAATGTGGGGATGTCAGGGACAGGCTGAGAGTGAGGAACCAGCTCAGCTGGTAAAGGCCCTTGCTGGCAAGGTTGAAGTCCTGAGTTTTGATCCCTGAAAACCACATGATGGAAAGAGAACTGACTCCCCAGGGTTGTCCTCTGACCTCCACAGGCATGTGGTGATGTTCACAACCACCCCTACCCCCACAAACGTTAAAAAAAAAAAATGACAGGCTGAGATAAGCTGAGGCCAAGTAGGTTGGTCTGGGTGGTCCCAGTTGCAGTCGAACACTCACGGTTCAACCTCCTCCATATCGATGCGTATCTGCAGTTGGGCACGGTGCAGCCGCTCTAGGATATGCTGGATGTCCTCTGTGGGCAAGGAGGGCACGATAACCAATCTACCCATGGGCCGCTGCGCTCTGGCCCACCTCTATGCTTCCCAGCCTTACCCACAAGGTACTGGCATTGTTGAGAGTAGACCCTTATCACACCAATCTGAAGCTGGGCCAAGAGGTAGAGGGAAAAGCGGGGCCTGGGTAGCCCGGGCATCGGGGGCTCCACTCGTACCAGCATGTAATTGAGGATTTCCTCGCTGGGAGAACAAGGCGCCCTGATCAATGCTGAGCCCCACAGCCTTGCCAGGCCCCCAGCTACAGCCTCCTCCCTCCCTCTTCTGGGTCTTACCAGGTCTTCACTACGTTCACCTTCAGGTATTCGCGCTTCACCAGCCGGCTGCCCCGAGTAGCTGCCAGCCTGAGGGGGGAGCGGGCGGGGGGTGGATATGTGTCAGGCTGAGGTCCAGGTGCTCGGCTCCCCGCACATCGCTCGGACCCACGCTCACCAGATAGTGGCGAAGCAGCCAGTGTGGCGCTGAAGAACGTTGGGGTAGTAGAACATCGCGGCTCTGGGGTTCACTTGACACCAGTGCTTGGTTTAGACCTCAGTCTGAATTCTCTAGGACCCCGTTGGGAAGAAGTAAGGATTTGGACAGGTGGCATGGCGGGTAGGTACAGAAAGCCCCCTTAGTGAAGTGACCAACTACTGGTAGTTAAATCAGAGGATAACCGAAGAGCGACGAAGGCGTTGGGATGCCCCTCATTCTGCCATCCCTAAGTAGTTTGCACGTCACGCGGGTGCGTAATTTACCTTCAGGATTCGTGTCCAGGTTAGAGGAGCAGAACTCCTAGGGGAGGCCCAGGGAGCACTGTGTCGTCTTCCCCAAGCCTTTGTCCTCGAGCCCAGGAGCCTTCGAGCTGCTAGGTGTTGCTCGAGGTCCGGGTCGTGGGTCCAGGCGCGCCCTCAAAAGCTTCCGCCTAGCACTTGGTCCCGCACAGCCGACGCGGAGCCGCACCAGTAGGGAGCGTTGCTTCCTGGCGCCTAGCAGCAAAACTGGGTTCCAGGTCATAGGGTCTCCGAGTCTGGCTGCGAACCAATAGCAAGAACCCTGAGCGCTGCTGTGACACTGTGAGGTGTCCTGGCCAATAGGCACTCATTCTCTCCTATAGTAACAAGAACTATTCTAAGGGATTTCGCTGACCAATAAACGATGAGCAAACCCAGCCTCTCCCTGGCAACAGCCTGCTAACAGGGTCTCTACTAGTGTGGGAGATGGGGTCATGTCAGGGACAAATATCTGGGCCTATTTGGGGTGCAGAGGTGTAAGGGAGGTCCCTGGCCTGTGCATGTACCCTGCCTTTACCCCCAAGTTTCACCAAGCCTGATTTTGGGTCCAGGAAGAGTCTATTCTGTGCTTGAGTTGGTAGAAACAGTGTGAAGTGGTCTTAGAATTGCCACAGGTTGCCCAGCACTCGGGAGGCAGAGGCGGGCAGATCTCTGTGTTCCAGCTAGCCAGGCCTACATAGTGAAACCCTGTCTCAGAACAAAACAAAACAAAAAACACAACAGGCCAAAGAAAGAAAAAGAAAACAACCAAGGGAGGTGGGCTTAGTGGCACAGGCCTGCAGTCTCAGCTACTTGGAAAATGGAGGTGAGAAAATCACAAGTTCAAAGCCAGCCTAGGTAACTTGGTGAGATGCTATCTCTAAATAAAAAATTAAGGCAAGTAGTTCAGTATTACAGAGCTTGCCTAGCATGTGAAAGGCCCTGGTATAACCCTCAGTACTACAATAAAGAAAGAAAACAGCCTTTGGTCCCAGCTCTAGAGACAGAGGCAGGCAGATCTCTGAGTTTCAGGCTAGTCTGATCTATATAGTGAGTGCCAGGCAGGCCTATATAGATCTACAGAGTGAGACCCTGTCTCAAAAGTAAGCAAGTAGGGCTGAAGAGATGGCTCAGTGGTTACGAGCATGTGGCTGCTCTTGCAGAGGACCCAAGTTCAATTCCTAGTACCCATATGGCAGCTAACAACTGTCCTTAACACCAGTTCCAGAGGATCAGATGCCACCTTCTGATCTCTGTGGGCCCTGCATACATGTAGTGCATTTACATGCACACAAAACACTCAGGCACATTAAAAACAAAACAAAACAAAAAACCAGTTTTTAAAAGCAACCAAACAACAAACCAACAGCAATAGCAAAACAACCAAACCAAATAAAAACCCTAGGCATGTGAAAACCTGTAATCTAGTACTTGGGAAGGGGAGGCAGGATGATCAGAAATTAAAGGATAGCCTGCACTACAATAGCGAGTTGGACACCAGCTTGTTATAGGAAAAGTTATATTTTTAACTTTCTGTATAATTTTTCAAGTCTGGATTATTGTGCTGTTTCCTTTGTTTTACTTACTAGGTACATACCTTGAAATGTAGCCCAAGGGTGCTCAGAGGTGTCTTATTGCTCTGTGCTATTTGTTTGCATTACCCTGAGATGTGTTATTGCTCTGCGCTAATGTCTTGAAGCTTTACAATGTTTAGTACTCACTATGTCTGGTTATTGATAAAGATGTAAAAACTAAGAGAATGGAAAGTTCACCAAATGGTTGAATGAGGCACCTGGTCCAATTAGTCCAAAAAAAGTGCAGATCAAACGTCTCAGAAACTGAAATAACTGTTCAACTGGGTCCTAGCCCAAGTAGCTTAGCCTAGTCATAGATCAAAAGGCAGCAGATGTCTTTTTTGAGACAGGGTCTCCCTGTAGCCCAGCTGGCCTGGAACTCACTATGTAGACCAGGCTGGCCTTGTACTGAAAGAGATCCGCCTGCCTCTGCCTCCTGAGTGCTGGGATTAAGTGTGTTCCAGGTAACAAATGTCTTGACCCATGCCTAGGATGTCTACTTTGAAAACCATGTTGACTGAGTAAAGTCAGGAAGGAATTTCCTGAGATATGTCCCATCATGAAAAGACACATAGGGCCCAGGGGCTAACCATAAAATGATGACATAAAATGGACTGTATGATCCTCATCTGTACTTGGTTCAGGGTCCCAGAGGATCTAAAAGCCTTTGTTGCTCTGGGACCCTCATGTATGGGTAAGGGTTAGTTAAACAAGCTTTCCAGAATCTCCTAGGTGAATGCTTCATCTGTTTGCTGTTCAAAGAATTTTTTCATAGCACCTGGGCTAATGAGTCCTATGAGTCCTGTCTCAAAAAACAAAAAGTAAAAAAGATGAATAAATAAAAGCAGCACACGCTTACTTTATAAATAACCATTTGTTTCAAATAATTCTTTTAAAAAATACAGGAGTTCCTGGGCATGGTGGCGCATGCCTGTAGTCCCAGCACTTGGGAGGCAGAGGCAGGCAGATCTCTGTGAGTTCAAGGCCAGCTTGGTCTACATAGTGAGTTCCAGGACAGCTGGGCTTACAGGAAGACCCTGCTTCAAAAAGGCCAAAAAACCAACAGGAGTTTATTTTTTTTTTTTTTGGTCCTTTTGGGACAAGGTCTTCCTGTAGCTCCAGCTGACCTGGACGTGCTATGTAGATCAGGCTGGCCCCAATCTCACAGAGATCTGTCTTCCTCTACCTCCAGTTGCTGGGGTCAAAGGTACACGTGTGCCACCATACATGGCCCTGAATCTTTTTTTTCCACATATATTTGTTGTTGGGGTGAGTATATATCTGTCATAGTGCATGTGTAGAGGTCAAGGGACAACTTGTGGAGTAAGTTCCTTCCTTTCATCATGTGGGTCCTGGTTTAGGAGGTACATAAGGAATACAGAGTAATTTGTGTTGATCCGTTTACTTCAAATATTTACAATGTGCTTGTTACATGCCAAGCACTCCTCTAAGCCCTTGTCTACACATAAGGAACACCCTAGTCTTTGTTCTCAGGGAGAAGGAAAGGAGCCATGATAAGTAACTAGAACTATGTGAGGTGGTAACTCTACAAAGTTAAATGGGGGAACAAGAGGAACGAGGCCATAAGCAGAGAATGGTTTTAGGATGGCTCCTCAGGGAAGCCCTTTCTTTTTTAAAAAAAAATTTATTATTTTTATTTTATGTGTATGAATGTATTGCCTGCATGTAGGTAAGTGCACCTGTATCATGCCATGCCCGCGGAGGTCAGAAGAGGCTGTCGGATCCCCTGGAACTGGAGTTACGGACAGTTGTTAGCTGCCATGTGGGTGCTGGGATCTGAACTCAGGTCTTCTGCAAGAACATTCAGTGTTCTTAACCACTGAGCCATCTCTCCAGCCCCAGAAGCCCTTTCATAAAGAGATGATATTTAAAGAGAAGGGACAAGTCATGTGACTGTCTGCGGGAACAGTTTTAGACAAAGGAACAAACAAGTGACATTCTAACACAGCAATGTTTGGTGGGTTCAAGGAGCCTGGAACGAAGCAGCAGGGGAAAGGGCAGTGAGGGATGAGGCTTGAGGACAGGGTGGGCGCTAAATGACAAAGTTCAGACCATTTCAAGGATCTGGGATGTTGCTCTGAGCGAGCTGGGAGCCAAGGAGAGTTTTGAGCAGAGGAGTGGAATGATCAGATCTGTGTTGAGGACCCCTGTGTATTGTGTTGAGAACAGGCTGAAGGCTGCCAACGATGGAAAGATGCAATATGGAAGGAACCAGTGCTAGATCTTTGGAGAATCAAAGGAAAGATAGAGGAGTAGGAGACAAGAAACCAGTCAGACCTGCAACAGGCAAGGGCTAGATCTTCAAAGGAAACACCGTGAGAGGTAGAGGCTGTTGATGGACCAAGTATCTACAACTAGACAAAGAAATCGGGGATTTTTAAGAAAGTTGTGAGACACAGTTGCACTTTGTGGGGTGTTGAATTAGTGCTTGGATTTGGTGTCTTGAGGGTCTCTTTTCTCAGACAGGCGGATGAGTTATCTATGGCACTAAAGGAGACACGTGGGCTCCACATACAGTCTCTCAGTCCAGGCAGAGACCAGCTGATAAGGCTTGAGCGAGGCCAGGCTGCCAATTTAGGGCCAGTTAGACAGTTTAAGGGACTTATGGCTTTCCCTGATGAGGCTTATGGCTCTTCTGCAATTCACATAGTCTGTTAACCAGAAAGAAGAGATTTGGGAAGATGATGGCTCCTAAGTGGTACTGCTTAAAGTGACACAGGGTTTTTAGTACCATGGATGGGACCTTTGACCTTTCTTGGCCCAGCTGTGCTTCTCTAGGCCCAGAGCGTCCTAAGGTACCAGACTCTCCACTGTCACCAAAAGTCAAGCTGAGACAACCTGAGCTCTTAAGTTTGTAGTAACATGCCACGGAGTAAAGACACAGACTCTTGCTGGGCATGGTGGTGCACGCCTTTAGTCCCAGTGCTCGGGAGGCAGATCTTTTGGTGAGGTGAATTCAAAGCCAGCCTGGTCTACACAGTGAGTTCCAGGTTAGCCAGGCTACAGGGAGACCCTGTCTCAAAAAGACCAAAAAAAGACATAGACTCTTGTTTGAGTATGTAATGCAGAAGCAAGCTTTATTAAGAATTATAGAAGAGGGGGCTGGAGACATAGCTCAGTGTTAAGAGTACTGGCTCCTCTTCCAGAGGATGTGCATTTGGTTCCCAGCACCCACATGGCAGCTAACAACTATCTGTAACTCCAGTTCCAGGGAATCCAACATCCATTTCTGACTTCTATGGGCACTGAGTGCATAGGTGCATTTACATGCAGACAAAATACAAACATGTAATTAAAACAAATAAGTAAAAAAAAAAAAGAATTACAGCAAAGTAGGGTTGGAGGTTAAGAGAACATCATACTTGCAGATGATCTGAATTTGGTTCCCAGCACCCATGTTGGGTAGCTCACAACCATCTGTAGCTCCAGATCCAAGGAAATCCCATGCCTCTGGCCTGAGGGCATCTTCACTCACCTGCGTGTGCATGTGCACGCGCGCGCACACACACACAATTTCTAAAATAAAAATAAACCTTTAAGAAGAATTATAGAAGGGCTAGAGAGATGGCTCAGCAGTTAAGAACACTGACTTCTTGCAGAAGACCTGGGTTTGAATTCCAGCACCCACATGGCAGCTAACAACTGTATATAACTCCAGTTCCAGGGGATCCAACAGCCTCTTCTGGGCATTGCATGACATGGGTGTACTTACCTACATGCAAACAGTACATGCATGCACATAAAATAAAAATAATAAATATTTTCTTTTTGGAGCTGAGGACCCAACCCAGGGCCTTGCGCTTGCCTACCACTGAGCTAAATCTCCAACCCCATAATAAAATATTTTTAAAAAAGGGGCTGGAGAGATGGCTCGGTGGTTAAGAACACTGGCTGTTCTTGCAGAAGACCTGGGTTTGAATCCCAGCACCCACATGGCAGCTAACAACTGTCCGGAACTCCAGTTCCAGAGAGTCCAACACACCCCTCTTCTGTCCTCCATGGGCATTGCACAACATGGGTGCACTTACCTACATGCAGGCAAAACCACTCATTTACATAAAATAAATTTATAAAAAAAAGAATATAAGAAAGTGTGTTGCATTTGTTCCTCAGGGGCTTTGGGGGAGGGAGGAGCTGGCCTGTCATCACTGGCCCAGAACCTTGTACCACCTCTTATCTGTTTACCTCCATTATCTCACACCCAATTATAAGCCGTCTTACTTATACTCTCAGTGCTCCAGACTCTGCGGTTTTAATTAATCTTCCTTTTAACCTCAACCTCTGTTCTCATTGCAACATTTTCGAGCAACTTGTCGTTTTCACCATGGGCCCTTTTCCCTTAGTATTTCCAGAGAACTATCTCCTGCATCACAAGCAAAGAGCAGGAGTCAGATTCTGAGTGAATATATAGGTTACATTTTATTTTATGTGTGCTGGGTGGGGGAGTACGAGTGTTGTGGCTCATGTGTAAAGGTCAGAGGAACAGTTTGTAGGAGTCAGTTCTCTCCTTTCACCATGTGAATCCTGGGACTCGAACTCAGGTGGCCAGGCTTGGCAGCAGACACCTTTACCCACTAAGCCATCTTAGCAGCCCTTTTAAAGGAAGACTGACATTTACTGATTACTTAGATGTAGGGTGTGAGAAAAAAGGACGGAGGACAAAGATCTAATTTAGAACAGATAGAAAAAGATTCAAGGGGGACTTCAGCACACTGAGGGCACTAAAAGGTTTGTGCACCTGTGCATGTGGTACATTTTTGTGCTGTTTAGACTCCTGACTTCCCAGAAGGACAAAGGAGAATGTGAAAGTAGAAGAGAACAAAGGAAGCAGAAAGGCATGAAGACATCCCGAGGTGGGCGCGTTCCTTAGGAGGACCTAAGTCTGTAGAAATGATCATGTAGGTGTCTCTGAAGGTTCGTAAGTGTTGCAAGGCAAGAAGGAATCTGGAAAGCAAATCTGACGTTGTGTGTAGGAACGGAAGCTGGAGGCTGTGGCAGTCAGGTGAGCAGGGACCTGGATTGAAAGTAGTCTGGTAGAAGTGCTAACAGGTGGTATGTGGCTTTGTTAAGGGAAATCTTCCTGTTTGGTGACAAATGAAACAGGATAAGGGAGTGGAGTGTCAGCCAATTAAGACTACTCAAATAACAGCTGCTAACATGGCAATCTAAGATAGTTTTTTTTTCTTTTCTTTTTTGAGACGGGGTCCCATGTAGCCTAGGCTAACCTCAAACTTGTGATCCTCCTGCCACCACGTCCCAAGTACTGGGATTACAGGCATGCACCACCATGCCTGACCCGGGCCAGGTTGTCTTTACAGGGTTCAAGTAGCAAGGAACCCAATTTGGAAGTATCCTTCAATCAGGTGACAGTGGGTTGAGGATGGGGCATCACAGAAGCAACTCTTCCCTCTAGCTTCTACTCTCCTCTTATGTTCCAGGGCCTCCAGACCATAGTTTCAGGTCAACCTGAAGTGTCTCCTCTTCATTTAGGCCTCTAGTCCAGGGCCCATCCCAGGCTCACTGATGAGGCCCAAAGCAGAAGCTTCTAGCAAAGAACTGTGGAGCCTAGCTTTCCCCAGGGGAAGCTGGTGGCTGTAGTATATGTACACGTAGGCCTAGTACCCCAACCTGCTCCCCAATCTTAGTTGCCAGGCACCTGTTTACATCTTTACAATTCCTGTGACCACCAACCCCTGCTATTTTCTCCCTTTGGATTCCCCTGGAACTGGAGTTAAGGACGGTTCGTAGCCGCCATGTGGGTGCTGGGATTCAAACCTGGGTCCTCTGCAAGAGCAGTCAGTGCTCTTAACCGCCGAGCCATCTCTCCAGCCCGATTCCTTTTTTAAATAAAATTTTATTTAAATTTTTTGGGGGAGAGGGTCTCAATGTGTCACCAGGCTGGCCTTAAACTCGTAATCTTCCTGCCTTTGCCTCCTAAATGCTAGGATTATAGGCATGTACCACCGCATCCAGTTGAATTTTATTTAATTTTGAGACAGAGCCTTACTATGTAGCCCTGGCTGGCCTGGAACTCATAATATAGACCAGGCTGGCTTCTAACACACAAAGTTCTGCCTGCCTCCTCCCCTTAAGTGCTGGGATTAAAGGAATGCACTACCATACCTGGTTTAAATTTTATTTTAAATGCCAGTAAAAGACCTAGGAGAAAAAAATAAAGTGCTTGACTTTAAGAGTTAGGACTGGGAGGAGACCAAAATTCCCCGAGATCATACAATTTGGAACTTCTTGGTTCCTTGGAGATGAAAGAGGATATATCTTTTTTTTTTTTTTTTTTTTTTTTTTTTTATAAAGTGCTTCTTTAAGAGTTAGGACTGGGAGGAGACCAAAATTCCCCGAGATCATACAATTTGGAACTTCTTGGTTCCTTGGAGATGAAAAA